ATTCTGGGGGGGGAAATGGGAATTCTGGGGGGAAAACCGGGAATTCTGGGGGGAAATCGGGAATTCTGGGGGGAATTTGGGAATTCTGGGGGGAAATTTGGGAATTCTGAGGGGGATATTGGGAATTCTGAGGGGAAATTTGGGAATTCTGGGGGGAAATTGGGAATTCTGGGGGGGAAATGGGAATTCTGGGGGGAAATTGGGAATTCTGGGGATAATCAGCAAAAAAATTGGGAATTCTGGGGAAAAATGGGAATTGTGGGCGGAAAATCTGGGAATTTGGGAAAAAAATGGGAATTCTGGGGGGAAATCGGGAATTCTGAGGGGAAATTGGGAATTCTGCGGGGAAAATTGGGAATTGTGAGGAAAAAATTGGGAATTCTGGGAGGAAATTGGGAATTCTGGGGGAAAATTGGGAATTTGGGGGGGGAAATGGGAATTCTGGGGGGGAATTGGGAATTCTGGGGGGGAAAATCGGGAATTCTGGGGGGGAATTGGGAATTGTCGGGGGAAAACCGGGAATTCTGGGGGGAAAAATGGGAATTTGGGGGAAATCAGCAAAAAAATCGGGAATTCTGGAGGAAAAATTGGGAATTCTGGGGAAAATCAGGAATTGTTTGGGAAACATGAGAATTTTGGGGGGAAAATCAAGAACTTTTGGGGAAAAATTTGGAATTCTGGGGGGGAAATTGGGACTTGTTGGGGAAAAATTGGGAATTCTGGGGGAAAATTGGGAATTCTGGGGGAAATCGGCAGAAAAACTGGGAATTGTGGCGGAAATTGGTGGAAAAATTGGGTATTCTGGGGGAAAATTTGGGAAATCTGGGAGGAAATTGGGACTTCTGGGGGGAAAATCAGGAATTTTGGGGAAAATTTGGAATTGTAGGGGGGGAAAAATGGGAATTCACGGAAGAAAATCTGGAATTGTGGGGGAAAAACTGGGAATTCTGGGGGAAAATTGGGAATTTTGGGGGAAAATTGGGAATTCTGGGGGAGATGGGTGAAAAAATTGGGAATTTCAACTCAAAAATCGGGGAATTTCACCCAAAAAATCCAGAATTTCCCTCCAAAACTCCAGAATTTCCCCCCAAAATTCCGGAAAACCCCCAAATTCCCGGGTTTTCTTTGGGATTGGCCGGAATTCCGGGATTTTTTTCCCAGGATTTGCTGCGGGAAGCGCTGGGATCCCTCTTGGAGCTGCTCCAGGAGCTCCTCCGGAGGCGCCTGAACCCCCACGGACTCCAGGAGATCTTTGCCGTGAGTTTCCCGGGAATTCCGGGAATTCTGGGAATTTTGGGGGGAATTTGGGGGAGTTCTGGGAATTTTGGGAATTTTTAGGGATTTTTTGGGAGTTTTTTGGAGGATTTTTTTGGAATTTTTTGGGATTTGGGGGGAAGTTTTTGGGAATTTCTTGGGGATTTTTTGGGAATTTTTTGGGATTTTGGGGGGATTTTTTTGACATTTCTTGGAAATTTTTTGGGAATTTCTTGGGGATTGTTTGGGAATTTTTGGGAATTTTGGGGGGGATTTTTTTGGAATTTCTTGGGAATTTTTTGGGAATTTTGAGGGATTTTGGGGGGATTTTTTTTTAATTTTTTGGGGATTTTTTTTGAATTTCTTAGGGATTTTTTGGGGATTTTTTGGGAATTTTGGGGGGATTTTTTTGAAATTTTTGGGGATTTTGGGGGGATTTTTGGGGGATTTTTTTGGAATTTTGGGGGATTTTCTTGGGAATTTTTTGGGATTTTTTGGGGATTTTTTTGAAATTTCTTGGGAATTTTTTGGGAATTTTTGGGGGATTTTTTGGGAATTTTTTTGGATTTTGGGGGGATTTTTTTGGGATTTTTTTGGAATTTTGGGGGAATTTCTTTGGAATTTTTTGGGATTTTTGGGGGGATTTTTTTGGAATTTCTTGAGAATTTTGGGGGGATTTTTAAAATTTTTTTTGAATTTCAGGAATTTCGGGGAATTTTTGGTGAATTTTTGGGAATTTTGGGGGGATTTCTTGGGGTTTTTTTTTAATTTCTTGGGAATTTGTGGGATTTTGTGGGAATTTTTTGGGGAATTTTGGGAATATTTTGGGGTCTGGCTGAGAGGAAATTCTGGGAATTTTGAGAATTCTGGGAATGGGAATGGAAATGAGATGGAAATTCTTGGAATTCAGGGAATGGACAAATTCCAAAGAATTGGAAATTTGGAACTGGGAATTCTGGGAATTCTGGGAGTGGGAATTCCGGGAATTTTTCACCGCCCAATCCCAACCTTTTCCCCTCCACAATTCCCAGATTTTCCCCTCCAGAATTCCAGGATTTTTTCCCTGCAAAATTCCACAGTTTTCCCCTCAGAATTCCCAGATTCCCCCCAGAATTAGCAGATTTCCCCTCAGAATTCCCAGAATTCCCTCAGAATTCCCAGATTTCCCTCAGAATTCCCAGATTTCCCCTCAGAATTCCCATATTTCCCCCAGAATTCCCAGATTTCCCTCAGAATTCCCAGATTTTCCCCTCAGAATTCCCAGATTTCCCTCAGAATTCCCAGATTTCCCCTCAGAATTCCCAGATTTCCCTCAGAATTCCCAGATTTCCCCTCAGAATTCCCAGATTTCCCCCAGAATTCCCAGATTTCCCCTCAAAATTCCCAGATTTCCCCTCAGAATTCCCAGATTTCCCCAGATTTCCCTCAGAATTCCCAGATTTCCCCTCAGAATTCCCAGATTTCCCCTCAGAATTCCCAGATTTCCCAGATTTCCCTCAGAATTCCCAGATTTCCCCAGAATTCCCAGATTTCCCCTCCCAATTCCCAGATTTCCCCCAGAATTCCCAGAATTCCCAGATTTCCCCCCAGAATTCCCAGAATTCCCAGATTTCCCCTCAGAATTCCCAGATTTCCCCTCAGAATTCCCAGATTTCCCCCAGAATTCCCAGATTTCCCTCAGAATTCCCAGATTTCCCCCCAGAATTCCCAGATTTCCCCAGATTTCCCTCAGAATTCCCAGATTTCCCCCAGAATTCCCAGATTTCCCCTCAGAATTCCCAGATTTTCCCTCAGAATTCCCAGATTTCCCCTCAGAATTCCCAGATTTCCCCTCAGAATTCCCAGATTTCCCTCAGAATTCCCAGATTTCCCTCAGAATTCCCAGATTTCCCCTCAGAATTCCCAGATTTCCCTCAGAATTCCCAGATTTCCCCAGAATTCCCAGATTTCCCCTCAGAATTCCCAGATTTCCCCTCAGAATTCCCAGATTTCCACCAGAATTCCCAGATTTCCCCAGATTTCCCCCCAGAATTCCCAGATTTCCCCAGATTTCCCTCAGAATTCCCAGATTTCCCTCAGAATTCCCAGATTTCCCCTCAGAATTCCCAGATTTCCCCAGAATTCCCAGATTTCCCCTCAGAATTCCCAGATTTCCCTCAGAATTCCCAGAATCCCCAGAATTCCCATATTTCCCCTCAGAATTCCCAGAATTCCCTCAGAATTCCCAGGTTTCCCTCAGAATTCCCAGATTTCCCCTCAGAATTCCCATATTTCCCCTCAGAATTCCCAGAATTCCCTCAGAATTCCCAGATTTCCCTCAGAATTCCCAGATTTTCCCCCAAAATTCCCAGATTTCCCCCAGAATTCCCAGAATTCCCCTCAGAATTCCCAGATTTCCCCAGATTTCCCCTCAGAATTCCCAGATTTCCCCTCAGAATTCCCAGATTTTCCCCAGAATTCCCAGATTTCCCCTCAGAATTCCCGTATTTCCCTCAGAATTCCCAGATTTCCCCTCAGAATTCCCAGATTTTCCCCCAGAATTCCCAGATTTCCCCCAGAATTCCCAGATTTCCCTCAGAATTCCCAGATTTCCCTCAGAATTCCCAGATTTCCCTCAGAATTCCCAGAATTCCCAGATTTCCCCAGAATCCCCCTCAGAATTCCCAGAATTCCCCTCAGAATTCCCAGATTTCCCCTCAGAATTCCCAGAATTCCCAGTTTTCCCCCAGATTTCCCTCAGAATTCCCAGATTTCCCCCAGAATTCCCAGAATTCCCCTCAGAATTCCCAGAATTCCCAGATTTCCCCAGAATCCCCCTCAGAATTCCCAGATTCCCCTCAGAATTCCCAGATTTCCCCCACAATTCCCAGATTTCCCCTCAGAATTCCCAGAATTCCCGGATTTCCCCTCAGAATTCCCAGATTTCCCCTCAGAATTCCCAGATTTCCCCCCAGAATTCCCAGATTTCCCCTCAGAATTCCCAGATTTCCCCAGAATTCCCAGATTTTCGCTCATTCCCAGCATTTAGGGCCCTGGATCCGATCCCCGCGGGCTCCGGAGCGGGAAGGCGCCGTCGCCCTCAGCAATTCCCTCCTGCGATTCTTCCTGCGCCATCTCCGCGTCAACGTGAGTTCAGCCCCATTTATCCCGATTTTCTGGGGCTTTTCCCAGAAAATTCCCAGGTTTTTTATCTTTATCCCGATTTTCTGGGGGTTTTCCCAGAAAATTCCCAGATTTTTTATCTTTATCCCGATTTTTCCAATAAAATTCCAGGACTTTTTATATTTATCCTGATTTTTGGGGGATTTTTCCCATAAAATTCCCAGATTTTTTATATTTATCCTGATTTTTGGGGATTTTTCCAATAAAATTCCCAGATTTTTTATATTTATCCTGATTTTTGGGGATTTTTCCAATAAAATTCCCGGATTTTTTATATTTATCCCAATTTTTGGGGATTTTTCCAATAAAATTCCCAGATTTTTTTATATTTATCCCAATTTTCGGGGATTTTTCCCATAAAATTCCCAGATTTTTTGATATTTATCCCGGATTTCTGGGCTTTTCCCATAAAATTCCCAGATTTTTTATATTTATCCTGATTTTTGGGGGATTTTTCCCATAAAATTCCCGGATTTTTTATATTTATCCTGATTTTTCACATAAAATTCCCGGATTTTTGATATTTATCCTGATTTTTCCCATAAAATTCCAGGGCTTTATATATTTATCCCAATTTTTGGGGATTTTTCCAATAAAATTCCCAGATTTTTTTATATTTATCCCAATTTTCAGTGATTTTTCCCATGAAATTCCCAGATTTTTTATATTTATCCTGATTTTTGGGGGATTTTTCTTATAAAATTCCCAGATTTTTTATATTTATCCCGATTTTTCCAATAAAAGTCCCGGATATTTTTTATTTATCCTGATTTTCTTGGGGTTTTTCCAGTAAAATTCCCAGATTTTTTTATATTTATCCTGATTTTGGGGGATTTTTCCCATAAAATTCCCGGATTTTTATATTTTTATCCCGATTTTTCCCATAAAATTCCTGGATATTTTTTATTTATCCCGATTTTCTGGGGCTTTTCCCATAAAATTCCCAGATTTTTTATATTTATCCAGATTTTTGGGGGATTTTTCCCATAAAATTCCTGGATTTTTTATATTTATCCCGATTTTCTTGGGGTTTTTCCAGTAAAATTCCCAGATTTTTATATTTATCCCAATTTTCCCCATAAAATTCCCAGATTTTTTATATTTAACCCAATTTTTCCAATAAAATTCCCAGATTTTATAGATTTTTTATATTTAACCCAATTTTTCCAATAAAATTCCCAGATTTTATATATTTATACCGATTTTTCCAATAAAATTACCGTATTTTTTATATTTATCCCAATTTTTGGGGTTTTTTTTCCCAATAAAATTCCCAGATTTTTTTTACATTTATCCCGATTTTTGGGGGTTTTTTTCCCAATAAAATTCCCAGATTTTTTTTACATTTACCCCCATTTTTGAGGGGGATTTTCCCTATAAAATTCCCAAATTTTTTTTATATTTATCCCAATTTTTGGGGTTTTTTCCCATAAAATTCCCAAATTTTTTTTACATTTATCCCAATTTTTGGGTTTTTTTTTTCCCAATAAAATTCCCAGATATTTTTACATTTATCCCAATTTTTTGGGGTTTTTTTCCCAATAAAATTCCCAAAATTCCCAGGTTTTTTTACATTTATCCTGATTTTCTGGGGCTTTTTTCCCAATAAAATTCCCAGATTTTTTTTACATTTATCCCAATTTTTGGGGGTTTTTTTCCCAATAAAATTCCCAAATTTTTTTTACATTTACCCCGATTTTTGGGGGGGATTTTCCCTCTAAAATTCCCAAATTTTTTTTACATTTATCCGAATTTTTGGGGTTTTTTTTTTCCAATAAAATTCCCAGATTTTTTTTACATTTTTCCCGATTTTTGGGGGTTTTTTTCTAATAAAATTCCCAGATTTTTTTTACATTTATCCCGATTTTTTGGGTGTTTTTTTCCCAATAAAATTCCCAGATATTTTTACATTTATCCCAATTTTTGGGTGTTTTTTCCCAATAAAATTCCCAGATTTTTTTACATTTATCCTGATTTTTTGGAGGTTTTTTCCCATAAAATTCCCAAATTTTTTTACATTTATCCCGATTTTTTGTGGTTTTTTCCCAATAAAATTCCCAGATTTTTTTATATTTATCCCAATTTTTTGGGTCTTTTTTCCCAATAAAATTCCCAAATTTTTTTTACATTTATCCCGATTTTTTGGGGTTTTTTTTCCCCGATAAAATTCCCAAATTTTTTTTACATTTATCCCAATTTTTGGGGGTTTTTTCCCATAAAATTCCCAGATTTTTTTACATTTATCCTGATTTTTTGGAGGTTTTTTCCCATAAAATTCCCAGATTTTTTTACATTTATCCCGATTTTTTGGGGTTTTTTCCCTATAAAATTCCCAGATTTTTTTTACCGATTTTTTGGGGTTTTTTCCCTATAAAATTCCCAGATTTTTTTTACATTTCTCCCGATTTTTTGGGGGTTTTTTTCCCAATAAAATTCCCAAATTTTTTTTACATTTATCCCGATTTTTTGTGGTTTTTTCCCAATAAAATTCTGGAATTTTTTTATCTTTATCCCAATTTTTGGGGTTTTTTTCCCAATAAAATTCCCAAATTTTTTTTACATTTATCCCGATTTTTGGGGGGGATTTTCCCTATAGAATTCCCAAATTTTTTTTACATTTATCCCGATTTTTTGGGTGTTTTTTCCCAATAAAATCCCCAAATTTTTTTTACATTTACCCCGACTTTGGGGGGGATTTTCCCTATAAAATTCCCGGATTTCTGACCCTTTTCCCATTTTTTTTGGGGATTTGCAGGCTGTGATCCCGTTTTACAACCTGAGCCGCTTGCTGGCGCTGTTGGCTCCGCGTTGTTCCGACGGAATTCCCAAAATCCGCTCGGATTCCTTGGATTGCGTCCGGACCTTGCTCCGCATCCAGCTCTGCTACGAAGGTGGGAATTCCGGGATGGAAAAAATTCCCGGGGTTTTTTCTGGGAATTTTGTCTGGGGTGGAGTTGGAGGGTTGGGGAATTTTTTGGGAATTTTTTGGGGTTTTTTGGGAATTTTTTGGGGGTTTTATTAGGAATTTTTTGGGATTTTGGGGGGGATTTATTGGGAATTTTTGGGAATTTTTGGGGGATTTTTTGAGAATTTTTTTTGGGTTTTTTAGGAATTTTTTTGGATTTTGGGGGGATTTATTGGGAATTTTTGGGAATTTGGGGGGGATTTTTGGGAGTTTTTGAGAATTTTTGGGGGATTTTTTGGGAATTTTTTTGGGGTTTTTTTAGGAATTTTTTGGGATTTTGGGGGGGATTTATTGGGAATTTTTGGGAATTTTTTGGGTTTTTTTGGGAATTTTTTTGGGGTTTTTTAGGAATTTTTTGGGATTTTGGGGGGGATTTATTGGGAATTTTTGGGAATTTTTGGGGGATTTTTTGAGAATTTTTTTTGGGT